CAGGTTTTGCTGTGTTATTTGCCTCCCTTTTCAACATGCACAAGTAACATGCAGTTAGTGGTACTGCAGCAAGACCACGGCAAGAGCAGGAACCTCTCGTGACAACTTTTCATCTGCATTATCATGCTCCTAAACTGTCTTCTCTGTCTCCCCAACCCTTCTGATACCACTTCGAAGATACCAACAGTTTTTCTTCAACAATTAGATTAAGCATACAACACACACACACACACACACACACACACACGCACACACGCACACACACACACTCTCAGTCACTCACTTTGGAACTACAATATCTTCAAACAGCAGAGTGAATTATTTGAAACGGCACCTTTTCCAATAGGCATTGTGGCATATTTCACTTATAAGAGCAAAACTAACGGATATATTAGCAGTTGTACATGAACATGTGACACAGATTCCTGAATTTTTTTTCTTTTTCCCAGAAGATTTACAGAATTTACAAAAAGAGATTATCCCTACACCTTCCACCCCTCCTACCCACCCCCATGACCCAAGCAATGAAGGATTTAGGCAGATTTACTTCAGTAAACACCTTTGGACACTTGGGGAGAAAGTGGGAGTCTGTTTGCAAAAGGAGGCTTTTGTTAAGTGAGGTACAGGATAATGCTTTACTAGGCAGCTGTGATATTAACCTACCCAGCAATGCGGGAACACTCCTTAACTCTTTGAGTGCCTGGCCCTTTGCACTTAGCAGATGAAATTCTGGCTCTCCAAAGACACTCAGAATTCTGGCTCTAGCAGTTTATTATTCAGACAAGTCTTGTAGACATGAAAACTGTTCAAGCTTTTAAAACAATGTGGTTTAATTAGATGAGGTGGACTTACATTGCTCATAAGCCCTCCAAATGGTGGTTTATAATTGGCAAGAAAAAAAAAAGATAGAAAAAAGGAATCAAAGCAGCACATTAAAAATTCCAGGAAATATCTTTAGAAAAGCTATTTTCATTTCTAGCTTTTAAAATATTAGACTTCGGTCGCTAGAGGGAATGAAGCAGCTGGGGCTTCTCTCCTTACTGTGAAAGACACCAGAAGTTTGTGATGAGGAAAGGGGCTTCAACTCAAGAAGCTGTAGGAGGCCAATTCAGACAGTGACATTATCTCAGCCTCTGCATCTTTCCGAGGGGGAAGTCTTGCCTATCTGTCAGAGCTTGGGAGGTCATGTGGACCTCCGAGTCAGGGCTTCAAGCTGGCCGTTACCAACTTGAGAGTTTCCAAAGCAAGCAGAGCAGGTTTTATGAGGAAGGAGTTAATGGTTATTTTTTGCTGGGCACAAGAATAACTTTACAGGTGTTGCATTTGGGCTTAAATAAGATTGCCTTATTTAGTTTCGAAAAAGAGTGTAGGTGTCAACGTTCGAGCAGCCATAAATGTGTGAGAAAGTAAAGGGTATGAGACATGACAGAATTAAAGGTGTTTGCTATGTTGTTACACCGTGTGTCAGGCTGCAAGCTCCCTTTGTCACAGCCTCCTGGTGATTTGACAGCGCGGATCTACTTCCCTTCTAGGTGAGACAGCATTTTTTAACTGGAGTTATAAATACGGTACACCCTTTGCGTTGCACCCTGCCTCCCAGATCCTTGAATCCTATCTGAACGCATCTTGCCCTGAGACACAATGAACAAACGCTCGTACACAAGGGGGCTATGGGCTTGGGGGCCCGGGCAGCGCCAGCATCACAGTAGCTGGCATTGACTGTTGTTTGGCAAGAAGGTCCTCTGCCAAATCATCCAATAATTAAGTTTTATGTTATTTGTATGAACGACCAAGCATGCAGTATTCCTTTTCAAATCAAAGGGAGGCTTAAAATTACTTTTTGAACACTTTCAGACCATGGTCAGGTCACAGTTTGGGGGCTGAATTAAAATGATCTCATTCATGATCTAATTGAGGTTGGCAAAACCTTAGCAGTAGCAGGAGTACATAAATATAAATCAAAGACCAAAATTTAGCAAATCATATCATTTGCTAGAAATCTGCTCATGAATTATTCTCCAATTGCCAACCCAGAAGTTAAACTTTGTCTCCCCTCAGCAACAGTAACTGTGCATATTTTTTCAAGCTTCTGACAGGAAAGTTAGAGGAGCTGAAGAGAGAAAGGAGAAGGAAGATGATCAGTGTCTCATCAGATATTGTGTGTTTGTGACCCAAGAAAGTATGAGAGCTGATAAAGTCATGCACATTTATAGTGAGTACTGCAGTCTTGGTTAGAAATTAATGGGGGCTTTAACAAACTAGACTCAGAAAAGCCAGGAACTTAGACCAAAAAAAAAAAAAAAAAAAAGAGGTGTAAGGGGAGAAAAGATTTCAAGAAGGACCTGATTGAACTTTGCTTTCATTTTTTTCAATTGAGGAATGTAATCATCATAATGATTCATGATTATTTACAAATTTAGTTCCACTGCTGAGCTGAGTTGAAGGATTGAAATCTGAAGTTCTTGTTAGAATACAGAACTGTCAGGATATGTCTTGAGGTTACTTTTTTTACTTTCCTTTTTAAAAGCATTCCTATAAACTTAATACTCCAGATAACTTTCCCTATAATCTATGGTATTCATTTTTATATTCAATGGTATTTAATCCATTTTTAAAAGTTGTTCTTTATTTTTATTTTTTATAGTATGCTATTTCAAACTAAACCCACACACTCCCTTTTATGAACTTGAAGAAGGTGTAATTCTTAACTTGAATTTTTTGAAGTTCAGTTACACTCAAATGAAGATATTCTTTCAGTCAAACAATAGACACACAATTGGTTAGTTTAGCCAACTTTATTTATCACAAGCACAGAAATACAATGGTGTATTTTTAAATCTTCAGGATATAGTGACATTTTAAAATAATCTCAGGTGTTAGAGGTAAATGATCACATTCTTTTGAGGATAGATATCTGTCATTAATGATTTCTCATAACAAAGAGACATAATATTTTGTACATTAAAGACTGTAATGGCCTCCTCTATAATAGTTAATATGGTTCATATGACAGCATAGATATTTTTGACCTTGTGTGCCATTACATATTTCTTCTTATAACTAACTCTAAGAAAGAAAGGTGCTCCTGACAAGGAAATAGCCACCCCCTCCTCAAAACAAGAAGTAATCAATAACAGATCAACAAATAAAATATGTTCTATACACATCTGATTTTTTCCCCCTCAAACAAATGAGTAAATTTCAAGGAATGTAGTACCCACTTAATGTATATATGTAGCATGTAGCTTTCACTGTTTCTTAGTTTAAATGGTATTTATATTATCTTGCATATCCAAGTAACTGTAATCAAAGAAACTTTGCAATTTGCCTGTTCTTGGAAGTACCTAAGTTTCTATTTTAGACACCAAGCACATCAATGGAAGTGTTTCACATCATGAGATTTCTCAGTTTTAAGAGGTGAGGTTTACATATAAAGAACTCAGTAAGCTGTGTTTTCATAATAAATAGACCCATTAAGAGGGAACTATCTCTAAGCAAAGTGGTCGTCCTCTAAGATTCCCCATCACCTTTGCTCTGTATAGATGGGAATTTGAAAACTAAATACAGCACATATGCACACACTCTCACATGTACACAGACACAAATGCACCCTGGGACCCAAACTCTGGTGTTCTTTCTCTTTAACTTTCACTTCATATTTGTAGCTTATGAATGAAATACATTTAAACACAAATAGTAGAGGTGAAAAAGTAGACTCTTGTTTAAGATTTATCATAGGTGGGAAAAGTGTTCTCTATGCCACTTGACTTTTACAAAACTTACTTGTACCTATTAATCTGAGGTTTAAGTATATTATTTAGGATAAATTGCTAGTTTTGTGCTTTTAAACTGTTTTCTTTTAGTACTACCAACCTTAATACAGATTATCCTAAATTGATCGCAAATTATTATGGTTTTTAAAACAGCATTCTGAAGTCCTGAATAAAGATGGTATTTTAAAGTAGTGTTTACAATATTTATAAGAAAAAAAAAAGGAGGGGGGGTTTAAAACTATACTGAACACTTAGAAATATGTGGATTTTATACTTGTGCAGATAAAGTGTGAGGAGGCCTTGTCCTGTGAAACCAAGACCACAAATGATACGTGTCAGTAGGCTCTTTGATAGGGCTTCTGGCCACAGTGTTTTTGTGCTGTCAAACTGCTATGTTGAACAAACACCTCCTCTGGGACACAGTGATAAATGCAGAGACAGGCTGGCTTCAACCAGTCTTAGCAACCTCCTCAACCACACCCCCCTCTCTCAGGCTCACCTCCCACCATCTAACCACCTCCCGCCCACCTGGGCCCCCTTACCTGAAATTGACATTTTTTAGAGAATTGCCCAGGGTTTTTCAAGGTGTCAGTGGTGAGTAATAATTGAGACTCCCCAAATCTTATGAATCAGTACTCTGGAACTGCAGGCAAAGTCCTTTTTCTGGCAGGCTTTATCTAGTCTTTTTAAATGGAACTGGACTGAGCTTTTAAACTTTTGCCAACTTGAACTTTTTCCACCTTGACTTAATCATTTGAAAACTGCTTGCTTTCCTCGTCTTTCCCCTAGTCACTTGAGTTTTATTTTCTAATGTTCAAGCAATTACATTGTGCAACACAAAACAAAATTTTGCCTTAAAAAATCTGAACGCGATTACCTTCTACTTTCTCCTTTCCAGCATTCTTTTAGGGCTAACACTTCAGATGTATAGTCAACTGATATTTTTTTTTCTTCTGTGTCTTGAAGCCATTATTCTCTGACTAAAACCTGTTTACTGGTGCCTTTGTGTGTGCATTTTTCCCCCTGACATTAAATGAATTTCCATCTTCTGCTTCTGCAATCTCTAAGAAATAGATAAACCATTATATTTTTTTCCCTGCTCGTATTTTAAAGTGGTGATCCTGACAGCAGGACGATTATTGCACTTTATGTTTTAGTGGATGTTTGCTGTTGCTAGTTACAGCAACACTTATCATAAGACAGCAAGAAAAGAGTAGTCCCTGGTAATTAAAGTAATGAAATATTCATTTACTCTACCTTTTCTGTAGTCTCACAAATTAGGCTGCTACATTTAATGCCTGCACTGCCTCTGTTTTTATTATAATGGCAGCTTTCGCATCTGCAATTAGGACTAATTCTGACAGTTACAATTTCTGAGGGATGGTAAACAGTGAACGAGATGTGCAGCAGAGGTATTACACGTGAAAAGCCCTTGTCTCTTTAACCTTGTTGTTTTTTTTCTCGCAGAGGTTACCTTTTCCCGATGGTGCAAAATCGACTTGACATAACTGTTCATCAGTTTCAGGGTTTTCCCTGGAGGTATTTGCATCAAATCAGCCCAGTCAAGCTTCAAGTTGAAATTGGCAGGCCAGAAACTCACAGGGTAGAGACTGGAAAAGAGACAGCCAAAGTACAGGCAGCAAACTGACAGCAGCAGAGTGAAAGACAGACAGGGGGGGAGAGAGAGGTGGAGAGCGCAAGCTTTTCAACTTTAGTGTACGGAAATCTCAGCTGGTCCTGGACGGATCTAAGTAACACAGGATCCTGAAGGAGCTGAAAAGGTCCAGAGATTCAGAATACCTTCAGCTCCTTCTTACCACTAGGACTCCCTAGCCCTTCTGTGGGGCTCGTCCTCACTCACTCTGATTGGATGCCTAAAGAGGAGTGGGCTCACTTAATTAAACAGAAGGAAAGTTCCAAGGCACCTCCCCAGCACTTATTAAAGCTCAAAAGCCAAATCTCATGATCAGTGTTATAGAAGGAAAATAAGGCGGTTTGGGTTTTTGGGGTTTTTTTTTCGTCCCTAATTGTTAACTTGTTGGAAAAGTGAACAATCCTTCTCTTTACCAGGTTTGTTTTCTCCAGGGTTCTCTTCTGAAGCAGATTAAATGTTCACAGAGACCAGACCTCAGGAGGCTGTAAATTTAAAAGCTAATGCATTTTGGTCAACAAAAACAGCCACGTAGCCAAAATTACATCTCAGAGAGACTCCTCAGAATAACATAGGGTTGCAGAGTCTCTTTCACAAGTAATACCTGCCTATTCTGATGTAAGAAGTTTGTGAGGTTGGTTAAAGGCCAAAAAAATGTGTCAAAAATCTCAAAATAACAATGACATTCAACTTCTATTTCATTATCAGGAATGTCGCTTTAAGAAAAAGTCTTGCAAATTTTCTATAATTGCTTTCACAATGAAAACAAATACAAAAAGTGCTTCCTTTGCCTGAGTACATTTTTTTCCTGTATCTTAAAACACACATACATATGCTCACACGGTTTTTCGTTTGTTTTGTTTTTTTTAATTTAATTTTATTATTATTATTATTATTTTTGTTATTCTTCTCTCTTCTAACTTTGAGGAGGGGGCAGGTTGGTGTCTTTGCTAGATAATTTAAAAACCTCCTCACTTTCCAACTAGACTTGGGGGTGGAATAAGCCCTTGCTTTCAAACCGTCCTGGAGCTGTGTGTATGACAGGCACTGGCTGAGCTGCTGATGCCCATTCGACAGGCACTGTTGAACTAAAGTGGTGTGACGGCACAGTTTTGTTAAGCTGTGAACAAAGGGCTGAAGATGCCTTGCTGGCATCATCCATGTGCATATTGGCCTTGTCACAGTTTTGCTTGATTTAATGCTCTGTTTATTCCTAGATATTAAAACTTAAATTCTGAACAATATGTTTTCAAATACTACATACCAACTTTATTTCAAAAGCTTTAACTTTGAAGACCCTGGGGTCCATTTGCTGTACAGTTTCTAGGCAGCCAATATTAAAACACAGCTTTGGAAATAAATAGATTGCCAGTAGCCTCTTAGCTGTTATCCATTTAAAAATGGGATTCCAGTCTTAAAAAGTCTTATTAGGGTAAAAGATTTATTTTTCTTTGATCATTGGTTGAAAGCCATTATTTATTTCCAACAGTAGATTCTCACATACATTGCTAAGGGAAAGTTACCTTGTGTGTACACAGTGCAGTCAGGGTGGACATTTTTTTTTTAAAGGCCATTATTTAAAATATAGTAATGAAAGAAACCATTTGCAAATACCTACAAGAGTAAGCACATCTCCATCAACAGGAGGGAAAGAATCCAGGGAGTTCATGTTGAAGTAAGTCCTATTTGAAAGATAGCAGAAGAATTAGAATTGAGATTTAAAAATAAAATCGTGGTTACAAAAATCCCTGTTCCACATACAACAAGCAACCCTTCAAAAGAAATCTCAAGTTTGGTACTAAATTTAGATTCCAGTGTCCCATTGAATGTGTCTTGAGCTTTATCTATGCCGGGTTTTTGTTCCCCCTCTGCCTCTCTTTCCTCTCTTCAGGTTTGCTTCAAGTGTTTGCTAAGAGATTAGTTAGCAAGTTTATATTGAGGAGGTAGCCATGGGAAGCAGCTCTCTTCTCGAAGGAACGCAGTGGGTCAGAGTATGAAGATACGGGGAGCTAAGATGGGCTCAGGCCTGGGATCAGGTACTTTCTTTTCTCTCAAAGACAAATGGCTGGTATAAAGGTTGGTGGGATGGCATCTCCCTGTAGGAGCACAGATGTTACCACTTTTAGAAACTTTCAAACAAGCATTATTGCTGGAGCAACTTTATGGAAAAAGAAAAAGTTTTAAGTCTTTTGCTAGAACACTCCCTTTTCGTTATGTAAAGAGGCTATAATTTGAGATATTCAGGGTTATTTTTACCTCCATTCATAAAACAGCATGTTTCTCTAGAGCTGTTAGGATCCTGGAAGGTGAGGAAGGTGGTAAAGGAGAGAAAAATATTCAACCGTGTGAAGGTATGACTGCTAACAGCACAGAGGCTACACTAGAAACCAGAAATGGAATCTCCAGGGTAAAATCCACGTGCATCTCCACCTGTCCTACGCACATTTCTTCACAATGATAGTTTAACAAACCGAGATGAATTGTCCCTCTGCCTTTTTTATTAGCAGTAGTTTTACTCAGTGTTCATTTATATCAAATGATTATTATAGCTAGAAAGAGTGTCACCAGCAGAGGTGCCTGGGCAAAAGTAAGCTTTTATTGCTGGTTCTTGTATCACATTCTACATGAAAAAATCTTAGATCTGCTGGCAGCCTAGAGTGGCCTGTTGTCTTACTTTCATCTGGGATTCCTGTGTCCAGTCCCATAGGCGTGAACAAGATTTAGACAAATAATCTCAAATGGGCAAAAGAGTAGACCTTTTAATTTATTAATAGGGTAGACTTAATATACAAAGTGAATTTTGGTGCCAATTTTGTGTTTCCTATTAATACTTTGTTAGTGACTATTTGTAAAAGAAAAAAAAAGCTGATTCAAAGAGTCCTCCTGCCCCAACCCCATCTCAACATTATCTGTTTTGCCCTGCCAACTTATATCTTCATCATTCTATCTTTAAATTGCTCTAAATGAAGCTATGGTCCCAGCAAATACACAGCCATAACCAAGATGACTTCTTTTAATTAACTATCCTAGTTTAGGATCTTTTAAAGAATGGGGTGTCAAAGAGATCTCATAAATGCTTTCTTTGAACGTTCATGATGGCTTATATGGCCTTTCCCCCTTTTTTTCCAGCCTGGTAGAAATGGCCTAGCCCAGGACTCATTCAAGTGAACACATCTCAGTGGCTGATTGAAGGGAGACACCAGCCCTTGTGATACCAATGAAATGCATTAATTGAGAATGTCCCAGCGATTGGGAGTGGGTATGATGTTGGTTTAGGGTATTCCTCGAGGGATTTCTAATTCATGTGAGAACAGTAAGTGTAGATCTTCCACTATCCGTTCGCATAAAGGTTTCATAAACAAGTATCAATGGCTGTCGTTTTCCCCCTATCCCATTCCTAGCAGAGTGAGGAGCAAGCTCTGCTTCCCATAAATAAGATCTTTGAATTTATCTGCAGTGAGGTACGGCTTTAATGACCTGTATCTGCAAGCCAGGAGCATGAATGTGATCTTATTGTATCATAGTGTAGAGATGAGATAGGCTAGCGCTACAGCACACCAGTGCATTGTGCCTGGTGTCGGGAACAATCCTTCCATTTCCAAAGCAGCAACTCTTTATTTTTCATCATTGTTTCCTTACCTCACTTGTATGCTTCTTGTGATACAGATCTGAGTGAGTTGTGCAAGCTTCAGACTTGCCAGCCCCCAGCTCCCAGGCCTAGTACATAGTAATTCATAAACTCACCATATTAGAACTATCAGATTGAAACTAAGGGTTTCTACTAGTGGTGGAATTGGAAAGCCCATTGTTTTGATTATCATTTCATCAGCCCCAACTGATACTAGTATGCTCAAGGAAAACATACTTCAGTTACAGTTGATTTTCAGATTCCAAAATGGTGCTGCAAAGCCTGTGCATCTCTAATTATATTTTATGCTAGGCTGTGCAATACCAAAATATACGCCGCAGCAATCAGTGAGTGAACAGTATCAATCAATTTGTAAACAGATGAAGTCACTCATTCCCAAACTGGTTTTCCAAAAACAATTACTAAATTACAATAGAAAAAAATTGTACAGTTACTGTATTTGTGTGCTGTGTTACAATCAACATACCAGGGAAACAAAACAATTTAATGCAGAAAAATCATCATTCATCTACATTATAATTGCTTCTTTTTCACATCTACAGGGCGGTTAATTAAAATTGTGATTAAATGCGGTCGCGCTGCCTAAGATGTCTTGCCCAAAACAGGTGGTACAGAATTTAAAAGTAAAAAAAATGTAATTAGCATTGGAAATTGAGAAATTGCCTGTAAGAATCAGTGTTAATTTCAGTCAGTGATGAGGTAATTTATAAATGAATGCAGTGGAGGCTGTGCAAATGCACAATTGCCTTCCTTGCCATTCTTAGCATTCTCAGCATGCAGGTGAAAATGTTTTCAAAATATTGAGGTAATTTGAAAATCAATCCATGCATTCTGTATCTTTTTTTCTCCCATTTGTACCAAATGCTGAACAAATGCTGCCATAGATGGCACAATCCATCAGTTTTTTACTTTCTGTGCTGCACATAGTTTGGACCTAGGTTAGGAAATGTAAGGACACAAATTGCAAACCTGAGATTGTTGCTGAGGTCAGAACTCTACACCTGAAGTTGGGACTAATGTGGATTTGGGTTTGCTGCAAATCACTCTCATCAATAAAACAAGAGACCTGGAGAGAAATCTTTTCATGGTACAGGTGGGACACACAGGAAGACTATTAGCCACTCCAATAAACTCTTGAAGTTTAATTTTTAAAGTTTAAGGAAGAAAGAAAATTATAATAAGAATTGATACTTTTTAATCTTTATTATTCTACATATAAACCTCTAAAATTAGATAGTAGTTATTACTAGAAACAATTTTTCCAGACATGAACTCTGCTTATTAATGCTATCTCTCCTTTCAACAAAGATGCCACTTTCTAACAAAGCATATCATGAACTTAATATATTTTTAGCCTTCTATGGACATGATGAAATTTACAGTTTAGATACTGTTTTCAAATTATTTCTATTTACACCATTACTATTTACTGTCAAAATGAGAAACACTAAGCCTTTTAAATCTTTTTAATGTGAGAAATTTAACTTTCATGTGCTTATCCTTGACTCTCTGAAAATAGGAATTTAAAATTTTTAATCATGAATGAAGAATATGAGTTTGAATATTTGGCCGGACACCACTAGAGTTAAGAGACTGTGGAACTTCTTAATCATCTTCTTCTGTGTTTGGCATCCTGCAAAATGATATCTCCATATGAAGCTCAACCTAAGAATATGTTTAGCTAACTGCTACAGATCAATTTGCTTATCAGATTCTTTCCTGTAAAATATTCTGCGTGGTTCTCTATTGTTTAGAGCAGAAATCAATTATTTCACTCTGAAGATGTTCTTTGGGTAACTGACATTTTAGGGAGAAAGAGGGAAAATAATTGGAACAGTCTATCCTGGGAGCATGTTACCATTTCAGGCCCTGTATCAGGCCTTCTCCAGGCCCTTCATCATCACTTTTAGAACATAAATGAAATGTGCAGTTTAGAGGTGACAACTCAGCTGGTTGTTCCAAGTGGCATGCCGTCATTTCTCCCATATTTAAATCTGTTTCTCATTTAATATTACAAGTAGAAATAAAATGAGACCCATAAATGGAGGAAGCTGAAAGGTCACTAGTTAACTCCATGATCCCTCTCCTTTGACCAGCTCCTGCCTCCCACTAACTGCCATGATGAGGATGTCATATTCCAGCAGTCTGTTCACCTCCAGAGAGGGTGGGAGCAGATTTCATTAAAGAATGACTTCCTGGATTCCCTTCAGGACCTGTGAACAGAAGATCTACAGCCACATGGGGCTTGGCTCAGATTTCAGGGGAGTGGTGCGATGGGTGGGGGGAGGTACTGTGACGTGCTCCAGGCTGCTCTGGTTCTGAGTTTACAAGGGGTCACAAAGGTTAGAGAATCACAGATGTCAACAAAACTCCAGGCCCTCCCAACCCCTTGAAAAAGTTGCAGTAGAAATCTCTTTACTTCTTTACGTTTGACCTGTAATGCCCCACAAGCGAGCAGGGCCACGTGGAGTTACTTGGGTGATTCCACCCTGTTATATGTATGTTGAGAATGACTGTCTTTCAGACAAGTTCCTTCTGCCAAGTCTCTTTTCCATTCTCTTGTGGGGCATCAGGATCCTCAGAAAAGTCCTGGACTACATGGCTGTAGCAGCATTAGATTGGCTAACAAGATTTTTTTTTTTTTTTTTTTTTTAATGTCTGTCCTTTTTCTTTTCACAGTTTGCTATGTGATCTTTCTTGATTCACTCTACTATTCCTAGAAGCAGCACCACTTCAAAACTGATGTCAGATTCGTGGAAGAAATGTACATTCTCTTTTTCTACTCAGGGTTTCTTTTGCCTTCGTTCCTGAGGGTTATCTGAACTTCACATTAGGACAAAGAAAAGTTTTTCTTTTTGCAGAAATAATTGAAAAGTATGTCACTAGGTCCTTTTTAGGCCTCTGGTCTTTGAGCAGGGACTGGTGGAGTTCATTCATTCTGCGTTCATTGTGTACATAGTATGTGCAGGCACTGTACCAGATGCTGAGGAGCTCACTGGGTAGTACAAAAGAGGGGTTCTGAAGACATGATCA